GTGCTGAGACCTTGTTTCTCCAGGATTCTTGCTGAGAAGTACCACAATGTTCATGTAAGTTAGAGGTAACCAAAACACAGTTAATTGCTGACTCTGTAATTGTGTTTTCTAAGGGTACGATGGGGGTTTAGAATTATTATGGCAGGGAAAGATCTCTTGAGGGCTCTTGCTCAATCCCTTTACTCAAAGGTAGTGTAAATCTGAATTCATACTTTATCATCACGCAGGGATTTGTCCAGTTTAAATGAAAGATGTAGTCTTCATCCTTCTATTGCTTCAGAGCCATCCAACTTGTCCCCTTAGCTTTGTGCTCTCTTGTAGGACTCCTGCTTAGACCTGTGCTTGGAAAACCACCAAGGCCTGGTAAAAATGTGAGGCAAATTTCTAGAAGCTGGGTGAGAAAGCAAGTTTTAGAGACACAGGCAGAAAGTTAGTGTTTTCCACCTGAAATGAGCAAGACTTTGCATTCTGCAGAACATCAGATGTTATCTGCCTGAACTTGTGCAAAGAGTTTGACACTGTCTCATATGACATCTCAAAACTGGAGAGACATGGATGCCCCAGTCCTGGAAGTGCTCAGAGTCAGATTGGATGGGGCTTTGAGCAATCTCCTCTAGGGGAAGGTGTCCCTGCCCATGGCAGGGAGGTTAGAATTAGATGGTCTTTAAAGGTCCCTCTCAACCCCAGCCATTCTATGCTTCTGTGACATTCTGAGGCTGCCTCTGTGGACTTGTTTCACCAACACACCCCACCTCACCTGTGCCACTGATGTCCTTACACAGCCTTTGCACTTCCTTATGCTTGTGTCAAACACATCCCCAGGCACTGATAACTGATGAGTGGATGCATTAAATTCATGAATTTAATGCCAGGTGCCAGGGCTGACCATACCATTGCCTCCTCTGTAAGAACACATCAGCTCTGGTAGTACTACAGTCAGAAGGACAAAGAAATTTGGACCATGAACAGAAGAATAATCTCTTTTCCCTTCAATACAGATTTTTTCCAGTCCTGGTTGCTTTTCATGCACTCTTCCTTGGGTACACGTATATCTGACAGTATTTCTGGAAATGGGGAGAATAGTTATGCTGTAGAGACCTCTCCCACGTTGCTGGAACACATGCTGCTCTGGAGTGCCCCAGACCCCCTTCATCAGTGCTGCTCTTCCATGTGAAGACTTGTCAGCACATCTCCCTTAGAGGGGTCATGAAATCCCATGGGAGAGAGATACAGTGGCTATGGGGTTTTTTTCCTCATTTAAAAAACAAAATTTGTTCCAGTTGTATTTTTGGAAAGAAAACTGAGGCATTTGCTAGGTGGGGTGTTGCTGGAGGGATGACTTTTCAAACTCTTTTTCACATAGGAATCTACCAATGTTTTGCATTTTTCTGACTAAGTTGTTTCTCTCCCTCTTGAGAGAAAGTTGGAGGATGTAAAAAAAAAAAAAAAAACAAGTGGTCAGTGAGCTTTTAATGTGATTTTCTACGTGCCAACAGTGAGCAGCACCTCCACATGCTCCCAGACATGGGCTTAACAGGCTTGCCAGCCCTGGGTGAGTTGGACACTACCTTGGAAAGTTTCACAGTTCCTCCCTTTCTCTCCTGCAGCATAGCAGATGGTCACAGTGTAAACACCATGCCAAGTTCTGATTAGTAAAATATAGTGTAAAGCAGGTTTGGAAAGGACAGGCAACGGTGCAACTCCCTGCTCTTTCCTTGGAAGTGCTCTGCAGGCTTCTCCAGGGTTGTTGTCATTGTCCATGACCTTAGTGCAGCAGTGTCCCTTCACACAGGGACTGCACTCCTGCTGCTCTGCTGGCTCTGGCTGGGAGCTCCTGAGGGGCTGGTTTATTGCTGTGTCAGTCACACAGGAACCACTGATCAACCCTTGAAACTTCCCAAGGTGCCACCTCGGTATGCTGTCCCAGCACTGCATCCTTGGGAAGGGTTTTTTCAGAGTGTTCATCCTGAATATCCCAAGCATTACCCTTCTGCAGAAAAATTGGGAATTTCACTAGAAGTCCTGCTTGACTAAAAAGAGCACTTCTTGTAGCAAAATATTAAATAAAAACCAAACCAACCAACCAAACAAACACATAAAAAAACCCCAACAAAACCCCCCAAAAAAACAACAAAAACAACTACAAAGCAGCATGTAAGAATGGGAACTACAATTGCAAAAGAATATAGTAAACATTGCTTGCTTGGGTACTTAGAGGTAGTATTGAGCATGGTCAAGTTCCACCTATAACTCAGACTAGAAAGGATCATTAAAGGTAGCACAACAGGACCCTACAGCTATTCTAGAAGTTGGGGGAAATGCACATCCACTGACAGATGGAGGAAACACTGTGGTACTGGACAATATGGAAAAAACCATGATGATTAATGGATCTTTGTAGCATCTTCAGAGGTAAAGCCGGCTCCCAGATCTTTGCATTCACCAGCTTGGTTTTGGAAGTAGGTGGGAAGACCAAACGTGAGGCTTAAGGACTGCTTAAAGAATAGAATAGATGACACAAACCCAGATGGATTATCAGTTCATGCCAATGAAGCTGCGGTCAGCCATGGTGGAATATCATGGCAAATGGGAAAAGGCTGAATGAAAAACCTAATATGATGCCCACCTTTAAGGAGGGCAAGGATAAAGATATGTGAAACAGCAGTAGTACCTCCATCCTTCTGTAGTAATTACAAAATGTAATTACAAAATTATTATGAGCAATACCTCCATCCTTGGAAAAATCATGGAGCAAGAATTCTTGGAAATAATTTTCATGCATGTGAGAGGCAGGAAGGGAATCAGGAAAAAGTCCACTGGTCCAGCCTTTGGATTTAACCCAAACCCCTTATTTTCCCCACTTAGCACATCACTGCAAAGTCTAGTGCAGACTTGGGGAGTCAAGTCACCACTGACTCTACAGAGATTTTTGTGCAGTCATCTTCATTGCTGGTAGTTACACTTAGAGCAGTGGGTGGATAAGGCAAACAGGATCCAGGAGTGAGGTTGCTGCCTTGGGTTGACAGAAAATATAGGTGTCATATGAGTGCATTGTCCCTGAGTATGTAGATATCCTGCACATTGGATGTAGTCAAATAAGAACACATCCAGCAATCAGCAATGCTGTGCTAAGACACAAAGCAAGAACAAAGGACAAACACGCCTACTTCAGACTCCTTCCAAGAGGGTGAAAAGGTTTAGCAAACTCCAGCTTAGAACTTTCCTTCCTTTTAACAGCTTCTTTTTCGTTGTGGGTTTTTGGCTCTTTTTTCCCCCTGTGGGCTGGAGAACAGCAAAGTGTAGCAGGGTAAACATGTGGGATAAATGTAAGAAACCTTTGCTCCCACATCCTGGCTCTTGGCAGGCAGGTGGAGCATGAGGTGGAGAAAGCTCTGCTGAAGCAGATAGCAAGCTCTGGAGAAAGTTCTCTGAGCAAATATGGTCTCACAGCAAGAGTCATGGGATCCTTTAACAGCCACAAGCTGATCTGGTCCAGAGCAGCCCTGGTAACTAGTGGAGAGAAGGGTGAAATCCTGGTGACACTTCTCAGCTGCTGCTTTCAGCAAGGGACAAAATTTCCACACATGGTTTCTTCCAGCCACTGAGACTCACCCACTCAGGGTGTAGAGAGGAGGAATAGCTCAATACTCTGAGAGCAGAATACTTCTGCCCACAGAATACTTCTCCCATCTGCAGGAGGAAGTGGTAGGTTGCTCTTAGATTATTTTTTTGCCTGTAGATGCCAAACTTGGAAGCATAAAAAGGTAACACCCGTGATTCCTTGCAACATTTCAGGGTTTGAGAGTCATCAGAAAATGCAACAGGAACCACCAAGCCTGCTGCAGTACCCCAGTTTGCTGGCAAGTTCCTTGTAGTGATGGTCCTGCATTGTCCCCAAAGCCCTAGGAGGCAGTTGTGAAGGGACAAAGCGGGCAGAGGCCACTGCTCTCTTCCAGATCCCTCAATCAATATGGTCTTCAGAGCATGCCTGCAAACATCTGCAGGAGCTTGGGGATGTCCTGCCCACTGTGCCAGCCTGGGCCCAGAGGCTGGTACTTGGTCTCAGCTGGAAACAAGCCCACCTTTCCCTGGAGAGCACTGGAGAGCTCATGCCTAGCCTTAGCCACAGTCTGGCCAGAAAAATCTCTTCCACAGAAACTGTTTTTGTGAGAAATTGCCAAGGAACACAAGCAGTGTTTACTTCAGTTTCCCAGGAATTACTCCTCCATTTCCACACTCCAGCCAAACCCACAAACACTCAGGGAGCAAGCAGTGGCCTGTTCGCCCAAGCAGTCACAGCCTGAGTGAGGGTTTGCATCCTCTGCCTGGTTTCAGGATGGATTGCATGCTGTGCCCCTACTCACATATAGGAACCACCTTAGTTTTCTGGTGTCATCTGGGGACTCTCAGGTCTGTCTCTCTAACGGGCAAAAATTTTGCAGAAGAGAGAAATTAATTCAGGGAGTAGCCAGAGGGAGGAAAAGCTGGAGAAAGTTAATGCAAGGAAATCAAGGCACAGCCTAGTCCACCCCATGAGCCAGAAACCCACCAAGACAGCCGGTAATCCAGAGCAATGCTGCCAAACGCTGTAACTGAAAATATTTTTATTTGACATCAATAGTAAAGAAGACACATTGGATTACACATCCCTTGATACATAAATGGTAAGAATGCAAAAGCAAAACCACCTACAGGAAACCCAAAGGCAGTCCAGTATACAGGCAGCATCCTGGGGGAAAGCAGCATATCAGGACCCTCCCTCATGCTAACAAGCAGTCAGTCATCCCAAAGAATCCAAGCATTAGCGTTTTTCCTTTGAAGCTGTTTTTCTGGGTTTCAACCGTTAGTTACAATCAGTATCACTTTGAGTGTTTTCACCGGTAGGGGAGAGGAAAAAACACCACCCACCATAGGACACAGTCGGAATCGGCTTCGGTGCAACATGAGTGTTTGTAGATGCGGACCCTGAAAATCCCCAGGAGAGAAATTTCATGGCCAGGTCGAGTCAAGAGCATTTAATGAGTTTGACTGATACAGTTTACACAGAGACAATGAGATCTAGAAATCACAGGTCAGCACCAAAGGGCAACGTGAGCTACAAAAGGTGACTTCAGTTCTTTACATGGCTTGTGGCTTCAGCAGTGGAAGAGAAACTACGCAGCAGCTTCTTGCACTGCTAGAATCTCTCTGCTGAAAAGGGTTTTCAGGTTTCCTGATTTTCCAGTTTCCATTTCTTCTCTCTTTCAAGGCACATGTTGTAGAAACCTTTGATCACAGCAGCCAGAAACAAGTGCTCATCCCACCTCCATGACATTGAATAATTTCAGCATACAGCCAAACAATGTGTTGTTGCACTAACTTTTTTCTAACCATCAGAGAATCTCACTGCAAGGAATGCTGCCAGCATCTTCCCCCACCCATCTGATAACAGATAGACATTACAGCTGAAGGTCCCAACTCTTCGACTTACAAAAGGCTCAGCACAAAATTGAGGTGCTCTCTGCAAAGACATGGCATTTTCAAGTGCAGCCTTGATAAATTTTTGGATATCTGCTGCTACCTGTGGAGGTGGAGCCCTCCTTTCTAAAGCAGCTTTGAAAAAAAAATTTAAAAACCCTTCTGTGTCTCCATTACTGCTACAGACTGCACCCATGCCAATGTTTTACAGGGAGACATTTGACCTGATTTCTGTAAAACACATCTTCTTGTAGTCCCTTGCATCTTTAAGACCAGGAGCCTGATCTGCCATAAGGACTATTGTATTGTTTGGTGGTTTTTTATTATTTTATTTTTTTTAGTATTCAATTATAAGCTCTTAACCACAAGCCTCCTTCCTTGCACTTTGCTCCTGCTCCATGCAAGGCCATCTTTCCACAACTCCCACCATGACTGGAGCAGCAAGCCTAGCCAGAAAGAGCTTTGAACCAAAGGAGGTGAAGACTTTCCCAAAATGAGATTGAAAAGGCATTTAGTAATTAAAGTCCCTACGCATCCTGTGAGCCACTGCTGGCCTAAGAAGAAATGCACTGTTCCCTGGTCCCTGCAGGATCCCACCCCTGCAGTGCAAGGGTTCAGCAAAACCTTCAGGTCTCAAAAAATGTAACAACAACAACAAAAAAAAAAAAAAAAAACAAAAAACCAAAAAAAAAAAAAACAAAAACAAAAACAAAAACACAACAAAAAACCAACAAAAAAACTAAACCAAACAAAGGGAAGAAAAAAAAAAAAGGCAGTGCTGAAGTTGATCCCCAATACAACAAGAAGTGTCCCTGATTTTAACAACCTTCAGCACAGGCCAAGGAAGTGCAAATTGCTGTGGTCAGAGCTGGTGGCACAGTACTCACCAGACGGAATTCAGTTCTGAGTTCTGGCTAAGAGCTTTAAATCACTTAAACCAGCTCCCTGGGTGTCAGCGCTTGAGGCTTTCACACCCGGTCAAGGGGAGGAAAAGCAGGGTCTGTACAGGTGGTGCCCTGGTGCACTGACAGAAAACAGTACTGCAGAATGTGCATGCCCCTCAAGCCTGAGACAATCGGAAGGGAGGTTCCAGATACAGGACACACATTGCAAACAGGCTTTAGGCAAAGAAAAATCATTTGGATGTCAGCCCTGCTGTGAATATCTCAGCACTGCAGGAGATTTAATAGACAAATACACAGAGCAAACAAAATACATGGCTTATATATAATGACGCACATAAAAAGCCTACTAGTCTAAAGATAAAGGAGGCTTTGAATCACATCCTATTACACTGCACCCTACTTTAATCTGGTATTAAATATACTGCTTATGATAAACAAATTACTTTTAAAAGTTATTAAAATGTTACAACAACAACAAAAGTAATAAAATATTTCAAGTTTTATGCACAACGTTGCAAGAGAAAATTTTGGTTTTAGGAAGCTTCAGACAATGCTTAAATAGTGTGGTAACTTCCTACCACTGCTAATAAGTGTTAGCAAATGTTAAGGCCATAATTTATTTGTGCAATTAAATTAATCTTTATTTAATGGAAAAAAACCCCAAAAGACAAATCAACACCTCAAATCTCTCTCTGAATTCCTCCACCTCTAAAAAAAAAAAATCCCAGGTGGTGTTGTGCTGAAGCAAATAATCTCTGTCATATTCAGAAGTAAGGTTATCTGAGGCCAGTGGTTTTTAGAGATGGCATCTGTATAGCTTCCCACCCTATGCAGGGAGCTTACCCACAAATTCTGGCAAACTGTCTCAACTCACTCAAAGCCTCCTTTGAGATTAAATGAAATAATGACATTAATTGAATCCAGACTTGATTGTTCAACACCTGCTCTGCACATAGAGGAGATGTTTGTTTTGGTCACTCTGAGAAAAAAGTTGTATTTTGCTGTCTCCATTAAAAAATATCTAATGCAAAGCGTAAACTTGGACAATTTTAGCAGCATTTTACAGTCCTTCATAAAGTAAAACCAGGAATGAATTAAAAAGAATGTCTGCACACACATCAATCAAAATACCAAATATCATGGGCAGTTACAGTTGATATATCACAGTCATAATCAGAAAAATTTGAGTCCAGCAATTAATTCAATATGGGGAGTACTGCAGCAAATAGATCAGATCCAACATTTTCTGGCAAAGTAACTATTTACAACTTGTATGTACAGCTTCTGGGCTTACAAAACAATGGAGAGCTAGAAAGTTGTGTAAAGTCAAGTTTGAAATTAAAAAAAAAAATTTAAAAAAGCACTTGTCCAACGAATTTGGAGACACTTTGGCATGCCAAAAGAGGCCTTTTTTTTTGGTTCACTGCAACTCCTATAAAACCAGCACATATAATCCATCAGTGAGGCGAGATATCCTGGGCAATACAGGCAAGTCTCTGTTGTGTCACTGATGTTAGCTATTGGGGGAGCCAATATCCACTGTGATCTTTGTATACAGAGGGTACTTGTCAGTTCTTAAAACCTTGTAGGATAGTGTATTTAAGCCATCAGAATTCATTGTCTCCCGTGTGTGAGCAATTCGGTCAAACCTGCAGGAGGGGAAGAAAAGAAAGCGGGGGAGAGGGTGGAGACAGCAAAGACAGAAAGGAAAAATGTTTAAACAATTTGATCTTTGCATGCCTCTCAGGCAGCATTGCAGGTGTTTCAAGAAAAACCTGAGTATCAGTGCCATAAACTCCTAGATTTGGCCAGCCTGAGCAATAGGCCAGTGCATCCCTATGGGGTCAAATTTTAGCTAGAAAGAAGCAAGCCAAGCTTTTAGATCACACAGGTCCTTTTCCAACTCTGCACTAGAGCAGAGGTTTATACCCCAAAGATAAGCTGGAAACAATTGCTCGGAATCTAATTTTCTGCATTTAAGAAATAAATTAAAAAAAGAGGAGAGGCCTTTGTGCCACAGTTCAATGTTGGGAAAAAGGTCTATAAACAGATAATAAACTGTCAGGGGGAGGGTGGCAGCTTAAAGAGCAGGAGCAGAGAGCTCAGTCAGTGAGAAGATGGCTGCAGCCTTTCCACATTGGACCTTTGTGCCCAGCAAAGAGAAAGCCAAGCAGTCGGAGCAGCAAGGGCAGAAGGCACCCCTAAACCTGCTGTGGGAAAGGGTAAGACACACCTCTCAGGGTTGGGTTCGTTCTTCCTGTCCCGGGAATGCCGAATCATTCTGCACTTCCCAATGACCGCATCCGGACGGGATATCCCCATGCCTTTAAACACCAGCCTGTAGAAAGCAAGTACATTAAACACCCAACGGATGTGGAATGCTCCGCTGCACCTTCCACAAACACCACTGGTTGTACCTACTATATTTTTTTTTTTTGAGGGGGATGTTACTAATGTACTTCCAAGCTTGCTGACACAAGGAGGGAAAGCCAGTCCTTTTCCACACAGACACTATCTATGGTGTGGAGCAGAGACCTCCCCCTGTCAACACCAAGATAGCTCACCACACCCTCACATACACCTCCATCTCTTCCAAACAACACCCAACACCCACACTAACCCTGGTCCAAGCTGTAGACTGGAATTTGAGTGGGAGTCATCTAGTTTTTAACCCATCTGGATAGGAGCCAGAGGAGCACTTATTTCTTTTGATGTGAAAGCTGCAGTGCTGGGGGAAACCTAAGTGAATGGTGGTGAAGCAGCATAAAGGAGACACGTGGTCAGAGTCACAGTGGTTCCAGCTGGGACCTACTGGGTGAGGGGCAGCCCAGCTTCGTTTGCATGCAATCTACAAAGCACCTGCAGAGTTGTTTCATGGATATCAGTGATGAAAAAGACTTGATTTCTTGTTTGCCTCTCCCTTTTCACTTCTTTGTAGCATCTTCCCAGAACTCGAGTGCCCCAAAAAGAAAGGACTGCCACCTTGCTCTGAATGCCCTACCGGAAAGCTGTCCCTTTCTCAATTTTTTAACAGAAGTGCAAAACCTCAGGAAGGTACAATTTTTTTAACACCTTTCCTGAAGCTTAGAAGAGCTCAGAAACCCCAGAGAAAAGCTCACAGAGTGGTTTTGATACTGAGAAACATGAAGAAGAGCTCCAAATACAAGCCCCTCATGATGATTTCTCTCAGTGAATGCTGTGGATATTTGAAGCTGTAAGGTAGCATGTTCATCCCTTGCCCTGGTCTTCCCAACCTACCCTGTGAGAACACCTTGATCCTCTCCTGCACTTCTGAGCCATGCTCAGCTTCCTCCCAGTCAAGCTCACATAGCTCACAGCATTACACAGACAGCCTGACAAATGGAAATCTCCTGGGAACAAAGGATCTGCTACAAGGCTGAAGACCCACACAAATCTTGCATTGCATTGGGCAAAGTGGGTCAAGGTCTCATCCACCTTCAGCTGCATGTCCTGAATTCCCTTCTTTGAGCCAGTGCTGGGAGACACTGCTCCAGCCAGTGCACTGGAGTGATGCTGGTGAGGCTATAGGGAGAATGAATGATGGCAGGGGGAGGGGTGTGACTTTTCCACTGTCCCTTGGGAGCTGAGAAATGGGGTGCCAGCACCCAGCAGGAACATGCTCTCACTGAGCCAGTAGGTTGCCCACACATCACCTTCACCTCCCGCCTGGAGACACCCCATGTGCCCCCACACCCAGGTGAGAGCAGCAGGTCTGTGTTCATCCCCACCCTGGATACACCCCAGGGTGTCAAGGAGGAAAAATTATTTACCTGTTATAAATGTCATCATCTTCACCACCCCAGCCCCAGTAATTGTTTGGGAACCCATTGATCTTTGTGAACTGCTCTTTGCTTAGGGCAGACACGCCTCCAAAGTACTGATTGTAAGGCAACCTGGAAGCAGAGAAAAGAGCTCATTAGAGGAGAAGAGGTGTTAGCCAAGGGGCAGCCTGCCTGCTGCTGCCCTTCACCCAGCCCACGCACAGCCAACACCCACTGCAAGGCACCTTCCTGCCACAGGAAGCAGCCATGTGTTGTGGTACTCTGGACTTAGCTGAGGGAGAGGGAACTGGTGGGCTCAGTCCCAAATATATCTGAGAAGTATTTTGCAACTGGAAGTAGCTGCAGCCTTTTGCTGAGCAGTACACCGTCCTCAAAGGACAGGCTGAAATGTGTATCACCTCACCAAAGGTGACATGAATGCCACAGGAGTGGCAAGAGCTCAGACAGACATTGGATATGCCACAGAGCCTTCTCCTCCTGCAGCTCTACCACTCAGTGCCACACTCCTCAGTGCCCCAAAAGGAAGCCGGCAGCCCAGAACTGAGCTGGCAGAGTGTGACCCTGCATACAGAAAGCAGCTTCCACCTGAAACAGGACAATTCACCAGGAGATTGGGGACAGATGAAATTCAGACCCAGAGCATAAGGAGACGGTCCACACAGGGATCACCAGTATGTAGTACAGACTTGTCTTTGCTTTAACAAGCAGAGAAATCCCCAGGGCTACGCATTTCTATTTTAAGTTTCACCTCCGTGCAAGAAAGAACTGCAGCTGCTACAGTGCCAGTAGCAGTCCTGCTCCAAGCAGGGCTTGGGTCTGGAGTGTAGACATGTAGAGACCCTGCCAAATCCACCCCTGCTATGGCTTTAGCACTACTGGCCACCACAGGGTACTGACCAGTCTTCACTTTACAGATGAACTTTTAAACTTCTCCTTGGGGATTTGGGACAGGGAAAAAAAACCCAAGGAAAAAAAAAAAAAACACCAAAAAAACCAAACCAAACCAAACCAAACCAAACCAAACCAAACCAACAAAAAAACCCCCAAAAAACAAAAAAACAAAAAAAAACACCACACCCAAAAAACAAACAAACAAAAACCAACAAGAAACCCCCCCCAAAAAACAGAAAGGAAAAGCAGGACATATTTTTGTTCAGAACAGCTTGCTAAACCCAAATGTATGCTGCAAGAAGTTTTGCTCTGTTCTGCTCTCAAGTAGCAGGGCAGGTCTCTCAGTGGCATAAAACATAAAACCAAACAGCCAAAAAATTTTCATCTTGCTCTTAAAATAGTGTCTGATGCAGTGTTTTTAAAGCTGCACATAATTCTCACTGTGTGAAAGTGTCTCACTTTTCAGACTGGGTGGAAACACTAGTTGTCTTCCAGCTTCCAGACTGAAACACAAGAAGGGATATGTGGGCATCTGCTAAAGGAAGGCTGCTTAGCTCTTCCTCACCCTTTGTTTCACCTTCCAGAAGCTGTGAATTTTAATAAACTGCTCGGCTGCATTTATCCACCTTCCTCCCCTGCAGCCACCAGCTCCCTGCAGGGCCAGGCACGTTAAGACAGGCTTTTGGGAGAGATGCTTTCCCATGCTTTCAATAGAGGGCGGGGATGTGTAACACTGCGCCTGCCCTGCTAGGCTGGCAGCAGAATTAGGAAACAGATGCCACTCCAAAAGGCGTCTCACCGAAATCCAAATTTATCCATGGATACAGAGAGGTGCCGTGGCTGGCTGTAACATTTGTAGGTGTTCCTGTCATCCATTGGGATGAGGTCTACATCACTAAAGACAAAGCAATCATAGTCATACTCCTTCAAGGCCTCTGCAAATCCAATATTCAGCAGTTTAGCACGGTTAAATTCTTCTTCTCCATCCTAATTTAAAAACAAATAAAAACAGTTAAGTGACTTAAATTTGACAGCTGACTTCAGCAGTTTCTTACCTGTTACCAGATGCCGGTGTTGCTGCAGAGGGCTGATGTGCCCTGATGAGGGACTGAGCTCGAGCCCAAGCACCGCCCTTGCAGCACCTGTTTAATGTTTGCAGCAGACCTCCAGTGACCCCAAATGCTGCCTGCAGGACAATGACACTTGGGACAGCCACAAACTGTGGGGGCAGGAAAAACGGCTGAGGAAAGGCCGGACGCAGCTCAGCTCCCATCTCCTGGTGGGAGCCCCCAAGAGGGGGCTCAAGAGGTTTGATATGATGGTAAGCAGTCCCTATGTCCCACTCCACGCACAGGCATTTAAAGATTGAATTTTCTTGTACAGGGCAAGCAGCTGGGGCTTCCTGGAGCAGCAGAGAAAGCAGAAAGAGGTGAGCTCCTCTGGAAGAAGGGACTCTTGCTATAGAGAGAAACATTGGCAGTGCTTAAATTTACAGCCATGACAAGGACCAAAACCCTGCTGTGGCCAGAATTTCAGCACCCTCCTCCTAAGCTCTGCCACAACATGGCTGTGAGACTGTGGCGCAGCCACTGCTGAGCAGTGTGTGATCATACGCCAGACCTGATTTGCAAAGCACAAGATGGCACCAGGAGCCAAGGTCTGATGCTTTGCTGCTCACCTCTGACCCTCTGCCATGCCCTGAGCAGCCATGAATGCAGAGGAGCAGGATGCTCCCTGGGCCCTGGGCAGCAGGTTCGGCACATGGCTGTGACATAGCCTTCATTTCTGCATGGCAGGCCAGCACAAGCTGCTCCCTGAAAGGGCTACAGCTCAAGAGGTGGATGCTGCCACTGCTGTGGTGGCACATCCCCTTCTTTGGTGTGCTTCCACCACTGTTCATCTGTCCTGGGGCCTCTTGGGATTTTCTCTGGTTGGGATGATCCCAAGGTGTGTTAAAAAGTCTCTTTTCCACAACCCAGCTGTCGAATAGATCAGGAGTCTTTGGGTCACGTTCTCAAGGTTTTTTATTATTTTTTATCTAAAACATTTTCTGTCTGGCCTGCCGAGGTCTGTTCTGCAGGTCAGCCCGAGGCACACTACCCACCCCCAGGTTGGCGTTGTCTTTTATACTACAAACTACGTATTAGATATTTACAGTTATGTTCCAGTACCTATCGCCTATGTTAGACAGTGACTTTCTATTCTAAACCAATCCCAAAATGCCACAATCACCAAGAAGACGGAGGCTAGGAAGAGGAAGGGAGAAGAACAGGACAACGCCCAAATCCTTCCATCTTGTCTCCTAGACCCCCATAGTAAAATTCTACAGAATTTCACCTTTCACCCTATGACAACTACTGTTATGCTATCTAAACTTTTGTGACCTTTAATTCTCCATACAAAGGTGGTAATTTGTTCCATGGGTTGAACTCAAAGCCACAGGGGTCTCTGGCTGCATGCCAGGGTCTCCGACCCCCCTGCCAGGGCTTCAAAGCCCCCTGGCTGGGGCTCAGATCATCCAGGACCATCAGGGGGACATCCTAGGTTCTGACAGGGGGCCTTGATGGGAAAATGCAATCAGGAAGGCTCTCACCATGATGGGAAGGACTTGAAAAGAGCTGACACTACAGCAGGGCATATTTATCCCAGGGCAATCACAGCTAATGAAGGGACTGGCAAAAAGCAGGGCAGGAAAATCTCTGCTTTCCTCCCCAAGTAATGAAGCACCTGGGGAGAACCTGTTCAGCCTTTTTCAGGCAAAAACATTTCAAAAGCACATGTGGATTTGAGCACAAGTACAGGCTCGCAAATTGCTGAGCACTTTAGCTTTTTAGCGAAAAGATCGTACCAAAACCCCAAGAATACTGGTGGTTTGAGAGTAAGGATTTCCAGTCGAAGACCCCACTCTGCAGCAGCAGCTTCAAACCCAAATCCTGTACAAGGCAACAGAGCAGGTAGAAAGAAACTCATAGGGCATCACTCAAAGAGACTGAAGGTTTTTGCCAACCTGGAAACCAAGACTGCCAAATCCATTCCACTTTTAGTCCTCCACACTCTCTGAGCAGTGTTAAGACAAAGGACTCCCCCACTGTGCAAGCTGTCCCCCCACTCTGCACTACCCTCACCCAACATGGGATGCAAATCAAGGATGGATAAAATACTGTGCCCAAGGAGCAGCACCTTGAAACACCATAGTCTTTGTAACAGCTTTATCTGGTTAATAAGCAATCATTTTGGTAACTATTTAATCCAGACTGATTAACAGATCTGTTGCTGAAGAGCCAATGCAGGTTCTTGAAACAGCCCCAAGTATATTCCAAGTGAAGGTTTTAAAATGCAAGTGTCAAACCAGTTTTCAAAAGCATTCCTCACCTGCCTTGGGCATACATGACTTCACAGGGAGGAGTAAGCTTTCATGGAAGAGGATCTGAGCAAATTCTCAGCATCCTCACCCAAAACAAAAGGGCTCACACAACAAAAAGGTGGTGGGTGGACGATCATCATCATACATAAAGCAAGAGCAGTGAAAACTCAAGTACAGAACATAAAGGCAAGTGGAACAAAGAGGCTGGGGAGAGGAAGCAGCTGAGGTCATGAGACTGGAGGGTTTTCTTTCCCCAGCAAAGGATGCTGCACAGCTCTAGCTGCCCAGCACTCCTCAGGTTACAGGACACCAAACCCAAACTTGGCTCCAAGGTTCTGAGGGGGACTCATCCTGGTGCTGGCGCAAAGTGCAATGTGGTCACACCTCAAAGCAACTGCTGGGGCCAGTCTAGGAGAGAGACCTCATTTCACACCCTTTGGCTGCTCTTTTCCTAATGAAATTCAAGGCAAAGGGCACCAGTTTTGTTGCCAGCAGAGGCTTAGCTGTAATTAGCCAGTGCCTTTGGGTAGCCTCTATCTCTTCCAGGTGACACATGGGGAATAACAGTGCCACAAGGAGCTGTGTTTTTAAACCTCTCCCCAAAAAACCTCGAAGTGCAGAGCGCTTTGCACCAAGAGCATGCAGGACCCTTCTTGCCACCTCACCCATGGGACCCTGGCAGAGCTCACACTGGAGCCCTGTGCACGGAGAGGGACAGCACACAGGGCAAACACTTTGAGTGGGCATTGCCAGTCTCCTCCCAAATGGCCACACAGCTTCACACACTGGCATCCAAAAGACTAAGAACAAGGGAATCACAGCCTATACAAGAAAACAAAGAACCCTCTCCAAGCCATTTTTTACTAACTTTACAGTGAGCATGTAGCTCATGCAGCAAACTTTGCAAGGCTGTTATCCACTGTGCCTGCTTTGACTGCAGGAGGTTGGTTTTCAGTCCCAGAAGGCATGTGGGGCTTTAACACAATATATTGGAACAAAAAAAAAAAGACTGACAAGAGGTTTTGCTTTTTGCAGAAGCTTTCTTTCTTTACCTAAGGCAATGTGGAAGCACTGGCGTGCTTGCGGTATCTCAGATTCAAATATCTCTCAAAACTCACATGCACGCTGCAATCTTTGACCGATCCCCGACATTTTGGAAAAACAACCAAACAAGAAACCAGAGCTGTGAAAACTTCCTTCCAGGTCAGCACAGAGTGCAGTACCCGCCGGTGACCCTTGAGAAAGCAGGTAAAGCGCAGCTGAAAAAACCTCCATCCCTCACCTCTGCCTAGTAGCTTGTCATCCCATGAATGCTGCTACTTGTCACAAAGAAATGGATTAGTTTGGGCTTGCTTGGATAGAGGAGCATTATCCTGAAGAGCAAGACAGCACACAGAGGACTGCTAGTTAGACAATGTAGTCAAGCTCTAGACACGGCCTCCATGCTCTCCTAGGCTTTCAGACAGAAAATATGTAATTCAAGCACATTTTTGCTCTTTTCTTTTTCCTGACAATTTTGCCCCAATGTTCTCTTGTCCTGAAACTTAACCCATGTCGGAGTTCAGTGCTGGTGCCCAGCACCTGCTTCTGGCTCCTGAATTAACTCTCTCTGTCACTCCAAGAACAAACTGCTGTCTTAGTTCTGCAAGGTCTAACACTGACTCCTGCTTGCACCTGGAGGTGAATGATCAGCCTGAGCAGAACAACATCCAGGCTTTTTTACTTCCCATCCCTTACCTCAGCTGAATCTCGCTTGTTCAGCTAGACCTGCCAAAGAAGGCAGGGTTCCTTTTTTTTCAGTGCTAGACAGAAAAAAATAGAGGTTTTTGGAATCGTTACTCAAACTAAAGGAGTTGCAAACCAGCAAGAAGCCACATGTCCTGACTTTGTTCTGCCTCCCACATCTATACAGGAGGCAGCTTTGTGATTCCTCCGGCAGACAGCACAGATGAAATGTGGCTGCATCTCTCCCACCTGAATCCTGCGCTCATCAGATATCATGGAGGTAATGGTGAGGATGTATATTTCTGGCCAACAAGGAGAGCCATCACTGCCAGTGGGAGCTTGCCAGCTGAGTCAGGGATACACTGAGATGGCCTGAACCACACATGCAATATCCATGGGGAAGTCCTTCCTCCAGTGGACTTGACCAGGTAGAAACAAATTTCCAGAACCACAGAGAGATATTAGGGGATACTTTGGTGTTTCTCTGTCACAGGGTGTTTTGAGGCCTCAGCACAATTACACTGGGCAGTGCAAGAGAGCAGCCACAGTCAAAACCTGCCTCCCCTGACACTGCAAGGGTAAGCAGAAGCTGAGCACAATTCCCTCCTTTGCCCACATACCTGATACCCCCTGCAAAGTAACACAAGTAAGAGTGATGCCCCAACCACCTCACACACACACGCACACACCTCTCTGGAAAACTTCTACCAAGGCACTGCAAATAGCACCAGGGGCCAGTGGAAAATGGTTGAACAACTGCCCAGTTTCCAGGGAATTGGCTAAGTCTTCCCTTTCCCAAACTTTAGTCTGGCTGCATGGGCATTTGCATGGGCTGAAAGGCAGTTAGAAGATTAATTTCCAGACCTGAGCATCCGTGTGGCAATGGCCGCAGTGCGGGAGAACACACGGGTAACGGTGGGAGTGAGCAAGGCTGAGGGACGCGCTGCAAATTTGTCACCTGTGGGGCATCAATGGGCCCTGGGCAGAGCGTGCCCAGCTGTGTGTCCTCATCTCAGATTTACCTGAAAACTCCTCCAGCACACAGCGTTTGGGTCTTTCTAGGGGTGGAGTGTGCAAGGTGAAACATCATACATTATTTTCCACTGGCTCCTGTTACATACCGGACATTTTACAAACATCATCCCCCTGACTTCAGCCAAGTCCTACTCAGAGGCATTCAGGCACGCAAGAACAGCACGGTGGAGACACAATGGACTCGTGACAGAAACACATTGCGCTGAAAGGAAGAAGTTTGACATTACCAGTGCAGCAGTAGCAGGGCTCAGTACTCCTCTTTCTTTCTATGAGATGCGGAGCACAGAAGAGCATGTAGGCAGCGTGTAAGAACCAGATCACACAGTAATTCTCCTTGCTTCAGTGATTGCTTTGATATAGACAGGATTAACAAGCAAAGGTAATATTTCCCCACTAGAAGGAAAAATAAAATAAAAAAAAAGGAGGGCAGATGCAAAGGGAAGGACAGACAAGAAAAAGAGAAAAGCAATTGTCAAGACAGCAGAGAAATAAGACTGTTTTCCTACTGTATTTCTGGAAGAATTAATACATTTTCTGCATCTCTATTCAGTGTACCCACTCACCCTTGGGAGATGCATCCAGTGGTTTTACTGCTGCTGACCATTCCACTTCTTCTAGACACAGCTTATTAGAGGCATGCAGAAGGAGAACACTTATTTTACAAAGTAGTCTTACTTGCTAACCTAGATCTGCTGGGTGTGTTCAGGGCATAAATACCCTGTGTACTGCATTTCCCTCTCACTCAAACCATGCCCAAGGGCTGCACCTGAGAAAAAGCATTTCTCAGGTGCATACAGAAACTTATGTAAGAGTTAACTGTAAAGGTCACAGCCCTAGTGCTGGAGAACAGGACCACAGAAGAGGAGCAGCCAGCAACACAGGGCAATGCAAGCCAGCATGCACCATCACAGCAGCCGCAGGGACTCCAACCGGCTGCGGACACTGCCTGCCTTTAGAGGGTGGTGCTTTCCTCACCCTGGAGCACCACCGATGGGGACACACCACCCCCAGCTGCACTGCCAGCTCTTCACAATGGAGGTGGTTGCTGTCCCACAGGCGATGCCCCCGACCACGTGCAGGCAGCTCCCACACCTGGCGGGTGACTTTCCTGCCTGGGAAAGCAGCCGCCCCCACCGCAGGACCACTGCTGGTTGCCACACCACCCTGTCGCTTCCGAGCCATGCTCAGAGCAGGGAGGCACCAGCTGCACCCCTGACCAGCAGGGTGTGTGGCTCAGCCAGCCCTGTGGCACCAGCAACTCACGCAGGCCAACGCTGCACGTGCCAGGGAACGCAGCCCAAAGCGTGGAGCACTGCGGCTGGCCCTGCGCTGCTGCACCGCAGCAGCACCAGCTGCTCCTTGCTTTACACAGGATGGGTTTCCTTACAGGGCTCAATTTTAGGGCACAGCATGCCAGTCCACGTGCTGCAGAAATGCCTTGTGTCCTCAGCAGCGTGGCTGCCAGGCCACAAGCGCAGTCAGATGCGGACATCGAATCATCTTGGCTGCTGTGCTGGGGAACTACTGCTAATTCCCCAGAAATGTCCTTTGTCCTGATCTCTGGCACCCTGGAAATGAGCAAAGCAAGAGAAATTGTAGTAATGGAGTATCAGTTTTCTCTCTCGGGATAAGTCTCCCCGTAGTTTCAAGTCTGTGACAAAATTCGTTGCTTGGGTGACCATTTTAAATATTCGTGATGTTTGATATGGCCAAACACACCAGCTGATCCAAGCAGAAGTTTAAGGAGTTAAGACTTAAAGAAGCATGTTATTTCATCTCAGTTCTTACTGAGTTGAGAAAACTGGATAAAAATACATATCCAAGAGAGAAACTGCCGTGGAATTGTCCAGAAGGTGGTCTCTGCTGAGGCTCTCAGAATTGCATCTGCCCTTTCACCCTGCAGCCTGTACAAATGCCTGCACATTTCAAGCCTTTCCAAGGGCGAACAACACTCACTTATTAAACACCATTACGCTACAAATTAAGACAGCTTGTCTTGAATGAAATGTGCATTTTCACACCTTTCTTTTTTTAAAAGGCAGATTGAAGCCACCAGATAGCAAGGAAAAAAAGCCCCAAAACCAAAAACTCCAAGAACTTCCCCGTGATTGCTTATTTCTTTTCTATTCCCCTGAAGACAACCACTTACCAGCCCCACTACCACAACTTTGTTTTCTCCCTCCTGACTTTGTGCACTAACATGAACAGAAGGTGCTCGATAAAGTGAAATCCTACACATTATATGGCACATCTACTACCGAACTAGGCATTAATACCAACTTGTCACCTTAAAAATCTCTGCATGCCATTCCTGCAGCAGTTGGGAAAAAAGGTCATTTGGAAAGAGATAATTAATTGGGTTGTGATATTAGGAATTCTTTCCTCCTCACCAAGAGGTTTCTTTAAGCAGAAACTCTTAAGAGTGAATTCTGCACCTGAGCAGAAGCGGGGATCTCAGGTTTTCACCCAAAAGCACTGAAGCAAAATTTTTCTTCCTTTTCTTTTCCTTTTTTAAAGCAACCTTATTCCTGCCTGCCAGCCTACTGCTTTTCAAAGTAAAGAACCATTCCTCTATTTTAAGGGGCACAGGCACTGTTGCGACAGCTCTGTAAAAGCTTATCTCTAGCATCTTACCTGGTTGATAACATATACTCCATAATCTAGTTGCTGCCTTTGGAGAATTGGGTGCAGGTAATAGAGCCAATACTTCAGGTGCTCCTCTCGGTTCCTGAACGGTATGATTATTGCTACTTTCTGAAGTGCTATACAGTCCTTCGGAGCAAAACGACCTCCTGCTTTGACCTGTGGGTTTATTCTTGCCACTTCTTCCAGGTTTACAGGCTGGGAGAACTCCACACGTAGTGCACCAACTGGAAGAGAGTCATAACACAAAGCAAATTAACACACACAATCTATTTCTCTGAGCATGCATCCTTTACACACATTAGGGTTTTGTTGGGTTTGGTTTCTAAGAAACAGAGCTTTTGGTCCAAACACAATCCCATCGGAGCTTGGAGGTGCTGAAGCTTGAACTGTCCATACCCAAAGCAACCTCACAGCACCAAGCCAGAGCAAACTCACAGTGTGTCCTCTTGGCATCAGAACCCACAGGAGTCACAGACACTGAGACCTGCAAATCCCACAGTCTGTGTGGCCAGCCAAGAGCTGTGTTCCCACTGGCACATGCACCCCAAAACCAGCCTGAAGCATTGCCCTCTGGGCTCTCACCCACCTCAGGCAGCCCAAGAGTCAAGTACTTCAAAAATAGTCTGCTCTGCTACCGACAAACTCACCTATGGCTAGTCACATGCAAAGTGAATAAAATCCTCTTCCTGGCTTTTTTTTTTTTTTTTTTTTTAGAGATATTTTCAGTGTTCTGCAGACATGCCACTTACTCATTAGAAGTTCTGCATTAGAAATGCTAAAAAAACCCATATCCAGATTTGCATGCCGGTTGGCAATTCCGGCAGATGGTTTCAGAAGTGGCAGGTTTTGAAACCATCGAAACAATGTGTTAAAACCAGGTTAAAAGTGAGAAGGCCAGGTGGCACCAGAGAAACCCTTTCAGAACAGCTAGGCTGGCCCTTCTATTTGCTTCCAGCTGCTCCAGCGCCAATGGAGCAACTCACCACAAAAGCCCAAGGAAGGGCCTCTCCGGATGCTGCGTCCTGCTTCCTGCACCAGCCAGTCAGCAAACTGCGCGGGCACCAGCTCTGCACTGGGGGCTGCTGAGGGCCCCTGCCTAAGGCACAAAGTACCAACCATAAATGCCACTCTGAGGATCACCCCTGAAGGATTTGGCTGCTGTGCCTTCCAAAACATGTGACTACTAAAAAAAAGCAGAAATAATTCTCCAGACTCATGGCTCTGGATTATTTAGAAGAAGTAACTGTGGTTTGGTTGTGCTGCTTCACTAACCTGCGCTCCTGGAGAGGACAAGGAGGAGACTGGCCAAGCTGGCAGAGGTGCTGGGTGTACCTCCAGAGGCAGCAGGGAGGCTCTGCTGCATAACACCTACGTAGTGGCAGGATGCAAAGGGATCTCCTAATCTCTGCATTTTGCACTGGTTAAATGTGCGCAAGTTTCCCTCTCACGCAAGGAGAAGGCAGCGATCTCTCAGACTCCAGGGCACTGGGATCAGTCTGCCCTGCTCCCAGCACTGCAGCAATTCCCAGCTGCACCGCTGACACCTGTGCCCAGTTCTGCACCCTCTCTGCCCTGTGGTACAAGCTGGGTCCTGTGCATGCTGCCCTACAGCTGCAGGACCAGAGCCCAAGCCTCTCTGCTCTGAAGTCTAAATGTGGCTTGTAGGGAGAGCTCAGAAGGTGCTCTGCAGCAGGAGGATGAGGCAAAAATTGGAGGAACTGGGGAAGGAGGGAACACGCAGTGGGAATGACTGGGACTGGGGCTCAGTGGTGACAGGATCAGGGGCCAGGAACAGCCACTCTTGTGCCTGTGGGACAGGCATCATATCAATGAGGGCAGAGGTGGCAGGAGGGGGAGACAGCACATTTCACGCTTCTGCTGAATTTGGGGGCTGCTTCCACGGTGGAGAGCATTTTTCCAAAACAGCCTCTGGCCCCAACCCACTTGCACACCCACTTCCTCCAGCCATCCCTGTGCCCATGAGTGTCAACTCCATTAGGAAACTAGCACTCAGAGCTAGGACAATGCTACACTTGTAATTTCAAAACAGCAGAGGGCATTGCACTGGGCACGGTTCACCTAACCAGGCACAGCCAGCAAACAGGATTATGTTGGGCATCTGTGCCCAGGGACTTTATTTTCCCATCCTTTTTGCACCTGGCTGCCAGCAGCAGGACCTGCTGGGATGCTGTAGGAAGCAGAGGGGCAGGAGCAACACATCCCCTCGCAGGGCCCTGCCAGCCTAGTCCATTGCCAGGCACTGGGTGTGGCTGCTGTCCCATCAAACAAGCCTGTTCCTGTTGGGACAAGCTGGGCTCTGTGCTCCCAGTTACTAGACTCTTCTCCCAGTTGCTGCTCCCAAGAAGCAACTGTGAGCCCCATCAGACTGGAGAATGCTTTCTGCTTTAACAAACAAAGGTTCTTTTAATGTCTCGAACCTACTCAGAGCAAGGCAGGAGGAAATGAAAGTCTGCTATTTAGGTGAACTTACAGAGGAAATCTCCCACTGGTGACTTGTGAGCTCCAGCTGGGCAAGGACAGCCACAAGCATTTGGAACTGCAAACAGCATTTTGCTGGCTGGCATCCAGCAGCCCCCCAAGGCAAAACATAGACCACTCATCCTGCCAGCACTCACTCTTGCTTGCCTTACAGAGACTGGAACATTGGCAAGGAAAAGATGGGAGCAGAAAGCATATTCATTGTAAAAAACAGCTGCAGAAGGCAGAGATTTAACAGTTTCACAGTCTTGAAGGGCATTGGTGAGAAATGATCTCTACTGCTCCAACCTCCTGCTTATGAATCAGTTTTAAAGGCAGCACACCTTCTCACAAATACTGCCCTAAGGGATGCAGCCAACATGTGGGTCAGTGAGAAGTCCCCAGGCACCAGTGCCATCCATGTGTGGCAAGGCAGGTGCCTCAGAGACAGGCTGCACACAAGTCACTCAGTTAACATTCACCAAATACAAAACCAGAAAAAAAGCTGAATAGGCTGTTTTGAAATACAGAATGACTAAAACAAACTCGACTTCGTAAAACCATGTGGCTGACACAAAGCAGAAGCAACATACCACCCACTGCAAATTGACACTTTCATTTCACTTCCCAAGCAGGACAAGGCTAAAGCCAAATCCACAAACACACAGGCTTTCCAACTGGTTAATAGAGTCCCAGTTCCAGCTACTAATTTTAAATAATTTTCACTGAAATTTGACTACCTGTATAGCAAGCAGCCCTAGGGCTGTTGTTTCCCAAGGATGCTGACTCAGGATGTAATCCGCAATGCCAAGAAAATGTGCAAAGTCTGCTGCAAGTGCTGTCCCTCCTGTCAAGACTGTGTCCCTATCTATGTTTACTAGGTAAACTTTCCAGCTCGATTCACTCCATCTGAATCTTTTCTGATTCTGTTCAAGCTGACTGCCTGCCATAGGAGTCACTGTATATGGAGTCCCTTCTGAAAAAACAGACAGGCATGACAGCACTGCGTGGACTTGCAACACTGGTCACCCATGCAGCCCGGCATCTGTAGGCAGAGGCCTGTTGGGTTCATCATCACAAAGCTCCAACAGAGCAGCTTCATGAGCCCCCACTGTGTATTTTTAGCAAAAGAAAATCTCAAAACCATAAATAAGCCGCTGCAGGAAGCTTGCAAAAGAACGCAAAAGCACAGCGTCACATCAAAACATTTTGGAGTTTGTAAAAGGAGGCTTTAGCTGGCAGTGGCAGGGTAAGAGAAAGATACACCAAAAAAAAGCCAACCCATTCCTGCCCCTCAGAAGCATTTCTGCTCACAGGGAAGGTGCACAGGAAAAGCCAGGGGCCATCACAAACCGGAAGCAGATTCTCACACAAAGCAAAAAGTGAGGCTCGCAAAAAGCAGAGGCAGCTCAGTGCTGGAGCCCCAAGAGCCTGTCCCACAGTGCCAGTGATTTTCCCATCCCAACTTCCCAATGGCCTTGCCTGCCACAACACCTAAACTTCCTGCCATCTGAGGCTGCCAGCACCCAGCCTTCCTGGTGCTCATCCTGCTGAGCCAAAATGAGAAGACCCTCACACAAGTAGCCCAGAATCTACTCAACCTGATGTTATTGTGAATCTAGAGACTGCTCTAGCCTCCCTAGACCAAAGGGAGTGATCTAAGGAGGCTCCAAGGAACACTTTCCCAATACTAGAAGTGTTGGGAAAACTCAGGAAGCAATGCCTTGCAGGGCCAGAAGTGTACTCGTGCATCCCTACAGGGGCTGCAAACAGGACAACCACACTCCATCTGAAAAGGTGGGAACAGGTGACACAAAGTAGAGGTGCTACCACAAAGGGCAGCCCTGGGGGACTCAGGCAGGACAGACTGGGGGAACCCTATTCTTCAGGAAGGCAGTGTGGCCCTGGGAGAAGGAAATAGGAAGGAGGGAAACTAGTCTCTTGGACAGGCTTGAAGAGTGATCCAGCCATCTGAATCACCCTCCCGAGAGATTCACTGGGAAAACAAGCAAAATCCACCTGCAGGCTTTAAGCCAGGCATCAATCTCAGACATTTAGTTTAGTGAAAATGAAAGCAAAACCAGATAGCAGCAGTTGGAAAAAGGCTCTCCCCGAACAAAGCCAAAAAGAATATTTCCATCACCCTGGCTGAGAGCTGGGCACTGCTATCCATCTGCTGAGCCACGTGCACACCCGCACTGTCACACTCAGACAATCCTCATGTGGAAGAAAAGCTGGAAAAGAGAAGCAGAGCTTGCAAGAGGAAAAAAAACCAAAAAACCCTCTCTTTGCAGGGGCCCGGCAGAAAAGGGAAGGAAGGGCCTGTCAGCCACACCAAGCCCGCCTTGGCTGGGAAAAACAATATCAGCTCCACCCCAGACAATGTGAGAGCAAGTTCCCCACCCGAGGCTGTGAAGCAGGGCTGGACCCCAGCCCCACATGGCAGCTCCAGGCAGGCAGGCAGCTGCATCCCACAGTTTGGCAAAGCAGTAACTTCCTCTTAAGGTAATTGAAATAACTTCCCATCAGCTAAACTTCAGAGCTGTCCCAGCAGTTTTCCAGATGGCCCCAGAGAGACTCAAGTCATGGCTCAGGCCGGTGGTGGGGGGACAGGGCAGCCCCCATGTGCCTTGCCCATCTGGGTCTCCCACGCAGCCATGTCCTGGCATGCAACTCACTGGTCAAAATGGCCAAGTGGCCATTTCTTGCTGCCATTGCTCCCCTAGGAGAGTTTAAAGAAAAAACT